TGCGATAGGTTCCGAGTTCAAATCCCGGCCGGGTAGAATGGTGCGATCTAACCAATTAAAGTCTTGATCATCATCGCAGTATACTCTAACCGGGTCGAAGCGATGTAAAATAACGATAAAAATAAAAAACAAACGAGTCAAGTTTTTCAGGCTAGAAAAGCACGAGCGAAGCACGAGTGATTTTTCCTGAAAAACTTGAAGACTTCGTTTGTATGCGGGGAACCTTGAGGGAAATATCTGATTAATTTTAAAGCTCGAGTGGATTCGGAAGACAATTTTTCCATACAAATTTCGACGTAAGGAAAAATTGTCAAACGGAAAAATTGTCAAATGAGAATGTAAAGGAGGCGCCATCCGGCAGTGACGCCACGGAGTATGGTTTTTGGGGTAAAGAAGAGTTTTCAAGTTAGAATTGTATAGATAAATTCAAAATCATCTTTAGTTTAAGATAATCAATTAGGGAAATATCTCAAGCACATTGAATTATACGATATCATGGAGACAAAATGAATATTTTCTGACCTCATTCGATTGCTTAGGGATAAAATGGGTCTTTTCTGTACTCCTACGATTACATGGGGGCAAAATGGGTTATTCGTGTACTTCTACCAGTATATTTTCATATGTATACCCTCTCGGGTCTTCACATTTTGTTCCCCGCCCCATATAAGTTATGAAATATTTCAAAATATACAATACAATACAATATCAAAGCACGAAAAAATACAATAGGTTAATAATAATAAAAAATTAGGAAGTCAATAAACACTCAGATCCCCCTAGCGATACTCTTCCGTATCCTCGTCGGAGGTCTGACGAATTTCTCAAATCTAGAGGTCACCAGATGCATTGACAATGTTAAAAAAAAAAAAAAATCCCACGTAGAGTTTGCCCCAGCTAGGCCTTTTTTCTGCCAGTTCCCCAGGGTCTTCAGTCCATCCACGTAAAGAGAGGATACCACAAATTGATTCTACCGCTGTTGCTAGCCCCAGCTCGGTCGAATGAGTCCAGGGTGCTGCGATAGTGTGGATAAAGATGAAACGGTTGTCCTCTCGCCGAAACCGTCCCAACACGAAGGAACCACGAAGCAGCCCCGTGGTAGGTGATTTTCACCAAGCCTTACCAAATCCACACGTGGTTCCCAAAATCCCGGCCTTAACCTCTACGCCATATTCACCCAAAGTCTCACTGGACCAGCTCCGCTGCCAAAACGTTGCCCCTCTCACTCCTCCCAACACAAACCAATGGGCTACCCGGGCTACCCTAACCTTTCAGTCAGCGTCCCCAGAAACAGTCGAAAAAACCCACCAAAATGTTCAATCTCCCCCTCCCCCAATTTATAACTCCCTCCGTAGATTACATTGAGAGGTACCCCCAAAATCACTTTCCCTCAATTATTTCACCAAAAATCCCATCATTTTTACTCAAAAACCGTCGACGCACCCCAGGGCTCAACCGCCTCGCGTGAGCGCCTCCTTCCTCCATCATACTTCTACGATTTCATGGGGGTAAAATGGGTATTTACTGGCCACGTACGATTTCATTGGGGCAAAATGGGTTTTTCTAGTACTCACACGATCTAACTGGGGCAAAATGGGTTTTCCGTGAACTTATACGGTTTCTTAGGGGCTAAATGGGTATTTTCTGACCTGGTACGATTTCATGGATGGCAAAATGTGAATTCTGTGAACTTTTACGATATCATTGGGGCAAAATGGGTATTCTGTGAACTTTTACGATTTCATTGGGGTAATATGAATTGCGTATAGAATTTATATAGGATTTTCGCATATGATATTCGGATATTTTAATACGGATATTTTGAACAAACATTATTTCTATACGATTTCTATAAGTTTGATCCTATACGACACACTGCCTCATGTATATAAACATTTCATATGGAGATGCACCATTTCTCTACGTTTTTCTGTACAGCGTTTACATATCTTTCGTACAAAAACAAAAAATTACGTCAAAATTTATGCATATAAATAAATCGTATAGAAAATATTCCTATACAAATATCCGATCATCATGTACGTAAATTCTATGGGGTTTTATAGGGTTCTATAGAGTTTTATACGTAATCCGTAAAGAAAATTTTTATTAGATTAATAAGATACTTTTTCTAAAATTTTCCAAAATGTTCAGAAGTTCTCCGTAAAAAGTTTTGAAGAAATTGAATCCGAAAGATAGGTTGAGATGTCTGAAAATCCTCTGAAAAGTTGAAATTTGCAAATCCCTCAGGAAATGTTATACAACCTTTTGCCTGTAATTTGTGATATTTTTACAAAATATGTGCAAATGGTTCCAATAAAGGTACCTCTAAATTATGCTGAAATAGCTCAGAATAAATTGAAACGGAAATATTTGCTATTCCCTCCGGTATTTTTTATACGAGGTATTAGTTCCTATTTGTAGGAAATAGAAAGAAATGATGCCACGGAAAAGCGTGGAAATATGGAGGAACATCTCCGTAGAACCACCAAAATAACGACACCATTCCCTGGCGGTCCTGTAATGCCGTACGTTTTTCTATTAAAATTATTCATATAATAATAACAGAATATAATAATTCCGATAATAATTGTCGACTTGGAAAAGAATGAATAATTAATACACAGAAGCATTGTGACCTAGACGAAAATTACGAAAAAGATTCATAATGATATTATTAAAAGAAAAATATAAAAGACTTACCTGTCTGGTAGAATATGTCCCCTAAATCCGTTATTTCCTCCATGAATCACAATTGCAACGGATCAGTATACAGTACAGGGATGAAGTTATCACATCTCTACACGGTGTAGTTTTGAAGATAGCTGTTGTGGAGGGTGTAAATAATCGATGGATATACTTCGTTTTGTATTTTATGCACAATAACTGTATTAATTACTCAAGAAGAGAATATTGTTTTGCAATGTGGGACATGACGCGAACGCCATGCCATAGTAACCAGCCCAAAAAATACGTTAAGCAATGTAGGCAACTTTTGAAACTTGAAAGAAACTAGAAAATTACTTCTGTTGGGTTTTCTACTCTATCGACTGCCCAAACTATAACATCTCTCCCACCTTGGATTGTCAGCTAGACAATTCAACTAATAAACCTTTAAATTTAAACCTTTAAATATATGGAAACAAAAACATAGACTCTCAACTCAACCCCCTCTCAATCTATCAGTCTCGGGGTTTTTTTGACCACTCGTCCACTTCTAGTTAGCACCTTGCGATCCTCCACTCCTGGCAGGACTTCAGCAGCTTTGGTTTCCAATTTCTTCTTTTTCTGGGTGCCGGCACGACGAACTTTAGAGGCCGAGAGGCACTGTATGCCAGTTCTCTGGCTTAGCATCTGAAGCTCGGAGAATTTCCTCAGTCTCGCTCATTGACATCTCCAATGGATACAGCTTCTGGATGGGTCTCCCGGAATCTGACATAACCATTTGCTATCTTGAGTTTGACAACTTGAATTTCCCCATCCTTCCCTGGGAATACTTGATCGACTCGGGCAAGAGGCCATTCGAGCCTCTTAACGTTGTCACTCCCCACGAATACAACGTCTCCTTCCTTGATCTTGATGAGAGCTGGCTTGGTGACCCCATGTTGCTTCAATTGTCCAAGGTATTCGATTCGGAATCGCGAACGTAGTTCCTCTCGTAATCTCTGGTGATACTTGACTCTTGCATTCAGAGAAGTGGAGTCCACCTTATCAAGATCAGGTACTCCATAATCAGGAAGATCTCTGAGAAACATATCGGGAGACAGAGGTACGAGCTGTTGGAGGTCTTCTGCTAGGTAGGTGAGAGGACGCGCATTGATGATCGCCTCACAGTCACAGAGGATAGTGGATATTTCCTCGAAGGTGAGGGAAGCCTTTCCCAACGTTCTTTTCAGGAGATCCTTCACCATTCTCACCATTCGCTCCCACCATCTACCCCACCAGGCTGCTAAGGGAGAGTTGAACCGCCAGTCAATACGTGTTAAAGCTTCCTGAGTTATGATCGTTTCCCAGTCCAAACTTCTCAGAGCATTGGATCCATCAACGAAGTTAGTGCCATTATCACTATATAACACAGCAGGACCTCCTCTACGAGCTATAAATCGTTTGAGTGCCTCCAAAAAAGAGTCCGTAGAGAGGGTAGACACCAATTCCAGGTGAATGTCCCGGTAGACTGCACAGGTAAACAAGACAATCCAGCTCTTGCTTCCATCTCTGAGAAACAGTGGACCTGCCAAATCAACACCAGAAACTTCGAAGGCACTTGCATCTCTCACTCGATTTTCTGGAAGAGGTATTGAGATAGATTCCAGTCTCTTGGCAGTATATCTCTTACACCTCGCACAATTCCTCACAACGGATTGTACCGCTCGTCTGCTGGATAATATCCATACTCGTTCCCTTAGTTTATTGAGAGTGGTGTCAATGGAACCATGTTTGAGTTCTAGATGACAATCTTCAATCAACCTGTTCACCAACAAATGTCCACTATCCAGAATCACTGGACACCGGAAGCCCATGGAGTCGTCACGATATGCTACTGGTGTCTTGAGTCGTAAGAGACCCATCTCTTCTCTGTAAACCACCAGATCACTTAGACGAGAATCTTTCTCCCCATCAAAACACTCAGACTGTACCATTTTGAAGACTGCATACTCTGCTGCCTGTAGTTCTTGCGCTGTCAACGTCTGGATGCGGATCTTTTCTTTGTTCCTACAGTTGTTGACAAATCGTAGAGTCCAAGCAATGAGACGAATGATTTGAGAGTACCTCAAATACTTCCTCAAATACCAAGGGGGCTGGTTGTTCTCTGGGTTCAACTGCGATGAATTGGAGGCAGTGATCAATGTTATAGCAGTCTTTGGGGTCTTGAGCTTCTTAGTGGCCTTCTTCATCTCCATGTTGACCTCGTTCTCATCAACAGGTTCAACTGCTCGAGGCCACTGTTCAGGAGGCAACTTCAACCACTCTGGTCCCCGATGGCACCTTGAATCCACCAATTATTTAGCTGTGCAGCCCCTCGATGCCAAGTCTGCTGGATTGGAGACTCCAGGTACATGGGACCACTGCTCTGGATCCGTCAATTGGCGAATCTCCTGGATACGATTCCAGACAAAGGTTGCCCACTGTTTATTCCTTTGTATCCAGGTTAGTACTGTACTGGAGTCTGTCCAATAATACAACTCACAATGTAAATCTGGAACAGCAGAGACCACCGAGTGCATCAGCCTTGCTCCCACCGTTGCTGCCAGCAATTCAAGTCGAGGTATTATGGTTTCTTTAGGAGAAATGCTTGCTTTTGTACTGACGAACTCGACTTCAACGCGGTTGTTGCTCTCTACTCTGGCAAAAATTACAGCTGCGTAAGCCAAGCTACTTGCATCTACGAATGCATGGAGAGAAATTCTGGATGCTTCCTCCTCCGCTTTGAATAGCCAGCGTGGGATCTTCACTTCTTTCAGCCAAGTCAATTGGTCCATCCAGAGAACAAAGGCATCACGAACCTCATCATCGACTCTGACATCCCAGTCGAGACCCTTAGCCCAAACCTGTTGAAGAAGGATTTTAGGACAAATAACAACTGGACAAATCATACCGAGGGGGTCAAACAACTGCTGAGTAAGTGAGAGCATCGTTCTCTTCGTGATGATGGATGGCTTGCCTTTCTGTACGAGTGGATTGACCAGTGACAGAGTGTCCTCTTCTCGATGCCAACGTAGGCCCAGCACGGACGATTCTGGCTCTGTCTTCTTCAATCCTGAGTACTCCCATGCTCGTAGATCAAAGCCACCGGACTCCAACACACTTGAGCTTATTCTCTGGAACTCTCCAGCCTCTTCGTGAGAGTCAATACTGATCACGCAGTTGTCCACGTAAAAAGACTTCTTTAGTTTACGCAGGACAGATTTCTCACTCTCAGCTCGAGCATCTCTGAGTGCTGAGTCAATGTGGAGGTTCAACGTAGCCCCCAGAATGAACGGACTGTTTGAGACCCCAAAAACAACTCGCTGATGCCTGTATACGATTACTTTCTCAGGATCAGCATCTCTGTACCACAGGAATCTCAAATGATCTCGTTCTTCGATGACTGCCACTTCTTTCTCGCGGAATCTCATCAACAGGCTTGGGATGAGCTCGATGAAATTGGGTCCAGTTTCCAGACAGTCATTAAGAGATGGTCCAGCCTTTTCATGTGCTGAGGCACCGAACACTGATCTGATTCTCGTAGAACTCCCCTCTTTTACTACCGGACGATGAGGTAAATAATAGCTGACACGTGGCACTTCACATACAGGAACTTGTTCAATGTAACCCTCCTGCATCCAGTCATCGAACACTTGTTGATAATCGTCTAACAAATTGAGAGACTTGAGGGTGTTGATGGTCTTCTTGAGTCTGTGTTCAGCACTAGGTCGATTGTCCACCAGAGGAGGATGATTCACCTTCCAGGGGAGCACCACTTCATACCGACCAGCTGAATTCAGCTTCGTTGTCTCCAAAAAACCATCGAGAACTTCTTTTTCATGAGCAGCTTTCGTTTGTTTCTGAACAGGGTCCATGATACCCAGCACATCCAAGCTCCACAGGGCTGATACATCGGTATCTTGAGTGAACATCGAGAGTGTGGTCATTGTCGAAGTTGTGTCAACTGCATGCGACTTTACTTTGCCCATCAAAGTCCAACCCAAACGTGTTCCTATTGCTGTGACCCCACAGTCTAGATTCAAAATTTCACCTGTGTAAAGCTTAGCTGCTACGTCTGCTCCTATATGTCATTCAATGGGCTGTTCCCCTAGTCCCACATCAGTTAGATGTATATTTTTCCCATGCAATTCATCAATCCAGGGCCCTTTCTTAATTTTCGAGATGTTCTGACAGATGGTTTCCTGGTGATAGGCAGTGAAATTGCAGGCGTATTAACTATCCATGTTCCTCAGATGAATCTTGTAGACCTTATGCTCTTGAGGCTGTGTTAGGGTACCACCGAACAGTGAATGGATCAGAGTACGACGTTCCACCATTTCATACCCTAGAAATTCTGCTGCTGGCCCTGAAACATATGAACGGTGCGACCCTGAATCAATGATCGCCCTGACCACTTTCTCCTTGCTGCCGTGGACCAGTTTGACCTTCAGTGTTTGAAGGAATACTTCCATGTCTGTTGAAAAACTGGCAAGATTCTGTTCAGTTGGTTTGACCTTGGATTTGTCCTCAACAGCTGATGTACTACCCACAAGCTTACACATCAACAGTACGTGCTTCTTACCACACCAAGGACATTTTTCGCGATATCTGCAGAACTTACAAGAGTGATTGGTTTTTAAACAATTAAAGCAGGCATTTGTGCTCTTCACGATTTCTACACGTTCTTCCATTGTCATTTTTTTCGCTTTCTCACAACTGTCACTTTTGTGATTTTGCTCACAGAATTTACATGAATCCACTGTCTGACCTTTTGTGTTGAGCAATCCTGCTGCTGTAGCTACGGGTCCATTCTCACTCTTGACTTTCTTTTTCTTGTCGTTGTTCTTAGTGTCTTTACTCTGCTGCTGGGTAGTTGGAGTTATGTCGAAACCTTGTACTGCCATGTCGATACGCTGTTCGGACATAACCTCGGCTTCTAAGAAGTCCATGAACTTCGCAAGACGTACTTGGGCATCAGGGATCTGTAGTGACGTTGAGTGGCGCTGCCAACCCCTCAGTAACTCCTCTGGTAACGAAGACTCCACCAGGGGATACAGCATTGCTGCACACATGTCTGTAGTCACTCCCAGTGATTCTAAAGCCCTGAGTTGAGTCTTTAATTTGTCATAAGTGCTGGACAATGGTCTTTTGTCGTCCTTGTAAAAGGCATTGCTCAATACGAGTTTGAGTAGCTCACGAATATACATTTCCACGAGAAGTTCTTTTTTTTCAACACGATTTTTCAATGCAATATCGCCTCATCATAATTTTCTGCCGAAGAGATTATTGTTTTACAATGTGGGACATGTAGCGAACGTCATGCCATAGTAACCAGCCCAAAAAATACGTTAAGCAATGTAGGCAACTTTTGAAACTTGAAAGAAACTAGAAAATTACTTCTGTTGGGTTTTCTACTCTATCGACTGCCCAAACTATAACATCTCTCCCACCTTGGATTGTCAGCTAGACAATTCAACTAATAAACCTTTAAATTTAAACCTTTAAATATATGGAAACAAAAANACCAGCCCAAAAAATACGTTAAGCAATGTAGGCAACTTTTGAAACTTGAAAGAAACTAGAAAATTACTTCTGTTGGGTTTTCTACTCTATCGACTGCCCAAACTATAACAATAGCGGTGGTCCAAATCGTGATGATATGCATGTGATATCTAATTCATGTATGTAGTGATGAGTTTTATTACGTTTTATTAACTTTTATCAAGTTCACAGAATACCCATCTTGTCGCTATGGAATCGTAGGAGTACACAAAACACCCATTTTGCCCCCATAAAATCGTAGGAGTACAGGAAAGACCCATTTTACCCCTACGAAATCGAATGAGGTCAGAAAATACCCATTTTGCCAGGATGAAATCGTAAAGATTCACAGAATACCCATTTTACCTCAATGAAATTGTAGGAGTACACGAAAAACCCATTTTGCCCCCATGAAATCGTAGGAGTTCAGAAAAGACCCATTTTACCCCGAAAAAATCGAATGAGGTCAGAAAATATCCATTTTGCCCCTATGATATCGTATATTTCAATGTGCTTAAGATATCTCCCTAATTGATTATTTTAAACTAAATATTATTTTGAATTTATCTATACAAATCTAATTTGAAAACTCTTCTTTACCCTAAAAACCATACTCCGTGGCGTCACTACCGGATGGCGCCCCTTTCGCATTCTCATTTGACAATTTTTCCGTTTGACAATTTTTCCTTACGTCCGATGTATCCATTCTGTGGTTGAAATTTTGACTCAGCCTGATGTATTCAGTAAATGGGTACACTTCCCTCGAAATTTCGGAGAATTGGAAGAGGTTCGGTGGAGGTAACACTCTTGTTCATCGATGAACTCTTTTCAATTGATTATAAGAATCTTTTAGAAGTTCGGTCCTTTTCCCCATGGATACTCAAGGACTTTGTGATTGTTTTTGTGCTTTACTCCTCAACATTTGTAGTTCAGCATCTTAGCATATATTTACGTCGCACTCACCCATCTCATAACAAATAGTTTCCAAATTATTCAACTATTGAAGCTAAAGTCGCCTCTACATTTTCCTTCAGTTGAAAATTTTATAGAATGATTAAAAAATTATATACTCTAAATTGTAATTATCTGCACGAGGCTGCCATTACTCCACAGTAGAAATAATTTGGTGCTGATGTTTCCAATGTAAATGGTTAAATATTTCGGTTTTACAATCAACTCTCTTGTCCTGAGTCATACTTTGATACGGAGTGGATTTTATTTATTTTAACAACAAACTGTGTTGACTACCACGTCCATAGTGATACCACGGCGGTGTGAATTTTCAGTCCATTCATTATTCCCTTCTGGAGTTGATACACTCTGTGGAACCCCGCTCAAAACCCGTTGGAATTGTTTTCACTCCATTCGGCACGGACTCAGAGTCGTAATTAACTCAGAATTTTTCACTGTGTTGTTATCGATGAGTTTTCCTTCCACATACTAGATTCTATCAAGAATTCAGATTCCCGGGAGTCATCGGCTGCTTGGACTGCACGCATGTGGCAGTTACTGCTCCAAAACACGAGGAAGAATATTTATACGTGAATAGGAAGGGATATTACTCACTAAACGTGCAATTGGTATGAATCCCTCTCAGCATTTCTCAAAAACTATCTCCTCGTCTTTTATAATATGAATTTTTTCCCTACCGCAGATATGTGACGCGGATTATCGCATTCTGAATGCAAATGCAAGATATCCTGGAAGATCTCACGACAGTTTCATCTGGAATAACTGCGAGGTTTTGCTATTACTGCGTGAACTTCATGCGACTGGACACGATGATGTTTTTTTGCGGGTTACTTTTCTATTAATTTCATTGGAATCGGAATTCCATGGATTTTCTCAGCAAATTATGATTTGTCAATGACAAGATTTATGGGAGTTTCGGGAGAACTGTCACTTGTTGCAAATTAATCCCGAAACGCTCACATTCTTAAAACTAAAATTATACGCATAATGAACATTCTCAAAGCCCTGAGACTCATCATTCATTATATTATCTCATTTTCCATTTTCGGAAATTTTTTCATGTCTAAATTTGAAAATTTCTCGCCTTTTTTTGTAAAAAAAATCGAGTTTCCGATGTAAATTTTTCTATCCATTTAACTGCATTCGTAGGAGATTCTGGGTACGGTCTAAGGCCCTGGTTGATGACACCAACCCTGAACGCTGCTCCTGGATCACCACAAGAGCGTTATGTACGTAGGCTGACTCATACTCGCTCATTGATTGAGCGATTGAATGCCGTTCTGAAAATGCTGTTTAGATCGTTATTGAAAGAACGTGTTCTCCACTACAAACAAGAAGTTGCAGCTAAGATTATCAATTCGTGTGTTGTTTTACACAATATTTGCGTTACAAATAATCTTCCACACAAATAATCTTCTTGAATTAAGAAATGAAATCTCCTCAGAAGCTACACAAAATAACAGTTTGCTATAAGAGTCTTAATTTTTGGTCTCGCACATCTTTCAATAATACTTAGCAGTAGATTATTAACAACCAGTATTAATATTTTGCACTCTACATTTTGATGTCACACCAAATTGGTGATGAATGATGAAATTGGCAGATGTAGTTTGGAGGGGATGATGAGACAATACAAAATGAGAACGTGTAGAACGCTTATTATTTTGTCTTCAATGACTGCAATTACTCGTAATACCTCTGCAGTTCTCTCAGCTGCTCCTGCAATTCTGGTGGATGCCTCTGCTGTCATTTCCAATGCAGCTGTTTTCCAAGCCTTGAGAGACAAATCTTCTTTCATAATTTCCAATTTTCTCTTTTAATATGTGCTTTTCATCGAAACTCCACTGGACATAATTACAGTCATCCCGTTTGTTTGATGGATTGCACTCTCAATCTTCTGGTGGCACTTGGGCGTCTAACTGACCAACCTAAAGATATTGAAATGAATAATCATCATATTATTATTGGTCTGGATCATTAAATAAACCTAGGATAGTCGGTGGTATTATTTGAAATAATAATAATTATTTTCAGTAAAATATAATGATAGTTTTTAATAATATTTGCCGTTAGAAGGACGGTGGCGATATACAGTAGTATATATATATATACCTGTAATAATAAGAATAATAATGATAATAATAATAATAAAATGTTATAGTTCTAAAACTGAAAAATTAATTATTTGAAATAACAATAGTTCTTTTCAGTAAAATATAATGATAGTTTTTAATAATATTTGCCGTTAGAAGGATGGTGGCGATATACAGTAGTATATATATATATATACCTGTAATAATAAGAATAATAATGATAATAATAATAATAAAAAATGTTATAGTTATAAAACTGAAAAATCAATTATTTGAAATAATAATAATTCTTTTCAGTAAAATGATGATAGTTTTTTTTCTTTTTTTTGTTTTTCTTTTCTTTAATTTATTAAAAAAAAAAATTCCAAGAGAATTCGAATTTAGAGAGAAAAAATTTCCGCTTCGCCCAGCCGGGAATCGAACTCGGGTCTCCCAGATACGCACCGGGCACTCTTACCGACTATGCTACCGGGAACCACAGAAATACCAACATTTATACTAATTTTTCTTAACATCTTTCTTTTCAGGTTTTTCCTCTTTCGGTTCCAATATCACTTTGTCAATCATCTTTGGTTCATTTTCCTTATTTTCATCGTCATAGTACATGATTATTATAGTCATTTTTTTCTTCGATATTGAAACCTGAATTTAATGTACTGTTATGAGATTTAACCTCTAGGATGGCTGCAATGTTTGGCTCAGTCATGTCAGAGTAGATCGCAGTAGAAAAGTCGGTTTCAGTAACCTCAACATCCATTACCCCACCAAATTCTGGCTTCGAGGACAGACCATCATCCCCAGCAGTCTTTATAGGTGCAATTTTCTTTTCCTCATTACCTATATCATCAGTCTTGTCTGGCTCAGTCTTCGGTTCATCGGTTTCTTCAGTATCACTCTCAAATCTTTCATTCTTTTGTACATCATGTACCTCCTCATCACCAGCACTGTCCAAAGCATCACCCAAACCTTTTCCCTCGAAATCATCTGGAAACTCCTGAAGAATAGAATTCCCAGTGATATCACTTTTTTTCAACTCAGTGACTCACAATTATATTTCATTTAATGAATAAACAGTCATAATGAAAGACCATAAATTAAAGGAGAACATCTGAACTGATATATCTAATATCGCCATAAGAAAACATCCAATTATTTCAACAATGAGTTATTCAATGTATAAATATACTTCGTATCAAATTATTATTTATATCTATCGATGCTCACAAAATTCACCTTGGATTCAGAAACCCCTGACAACCCATGGATGCTCACAGGGTCTATTATGTCTATAAGACCCTGATCGACAGGATCTAGGACTGCTTCTACAGGAGGACCAACAGCTGTTCCTTCTCGGGATTTCGCCTCGTTTGCTAGAACACCTCGGACTTTGGTCTTGATAAGACTATAAAGAAATGAACAAGCTTTTCCATTTCTGAATATGTATGAAAGTCACCTCACTTTTTACTTACTCTTCTCCATTGCTGCCATGCTTTCTTAGCACCTCCGAGCAAATTTAATAATCCTGCCAATTCTTGCCATAATTTTTGAGCATCAGCATGGGTAAAGTCAGGAATAAATCGAACATTTATCAACTGAGGATGTTTCTTCACATATTCCAACATCACCTTTCGCTGGGGTACTATGATATTTCTCGGGTCTTTTGATGCATTTTGTTTATTTTTTGTTGCCTTCTTCACAACTTTTCCATTTGCTGACTTACTCCTCATTATTGAATAAATTAATGAGTAGAATTCCGAATAAAGATGTAAGAATAATGTATAAATAATCACAGTCCCAGGGGAATGTCAGAGTGTGAGGTTAAGATGCGTCAAACCATCATATGAAACCGAACGCCGAGTGAAAATCGCATGGGAGCGTACGGAGCCAAAGTCGCATACGACGGTCTCAAACCGTACGGACCCCACCGCACACGGAGCGCCTCCGTTCACGACGAGCTTTTATACGACCGTGGAATCCTGGGTCGAGAATAGGCTCCCTTGTCTTGTTTCTCTTGCGCTTTTGCGGGATCACTAATACGGGGCGAGCGACCGACACTGATTTTTTATTTAATACTCACCTAGTTATTTGGTAGAACACGTGCGCCATCTTCTCCAACGGTTCCGTTGGCCCAAATGTAGTAGTGATTGTAAGGTGGAATATTCATGACTCTTCTGAAACCATGCGTGCTTATCAGAACTGTGATTTTGTACGAAATCCATGAGCACTTTTAGCCCCTGTTTGTGGGTCTTTTCCAACAGATTTTCAAAATCCTTCGAAGTACTGAACATGGGATCGATATCAATGAAGTTTGATATGTCATATCCCATGTCTACTCCGGGGCTAGGATAAACGGGTGACAGCCAGAATGCATCGACTTTAGCGTCTGTCAAGTGCTGCAAGTTATCAGTAATTCCTAAAAATATGAAATAATTGAAAAATTCGTCCGAGTTGTGATAAAGTGCATCATTTACTTAGCTTGTTATTGAAATAATTCTCTTATAGATTCTTTTCAGTCATTCAGAGTGATTCTTTCATGAAGGAAAATTGATTATTATCCACAAAAATTACCTTTAAGATCCGCAATTGCATCTCCATCACTATCCCTGAAACTTCTTGGATAAATTTGATACAGCGACATAGACGATCACCATTTTTCCTCACCATTCACCCCAATAACGAGTGCTATTATTGCAAACTCAAAATAACATTCATGTCGATAAAATGAAATGTAAGTTATTCCCTGAAGCTACAAAAAATGGGTGATCCATGAGATTCCTATCACCCGCCGACCAATAACATGAGTGGTGAAACTTCTTTGTCATCAAGTCGTGCCCACCGTGAAGCGTGATACTGTCGAATTATCAGGGACGAGCCCACTTTTATACACATCAAGAGTAATTGACGTGATAAGTGTTGTCTGGCTATCCATGAATAAATATTGGTGAATAGCGTTTTTGTACAGATGTATATCCCGACTATAATTAATCTGGTTCATATGTCAGATGATCATATTATCAATTTCCCCATTCCAAATTTTGGGGAGATTTTCAATTCCTCAGTTGCTCAAGATGAATTTATAATTTAATTGCAGAATATGACCAATGATTTATCCGTTCAATGCATCTATAGATGTTTCCTCCGGTTACGCTATCTTTGAAAACTGAAATTAGAATCTTACTTGAACACGTACGTCAGAAAAAAACAAGAATTATCATCATCATCATCATCATTAATTTGTATTCTGCATTCGAATACATTCCGAATAATGCAGCGGGAATAATAATGTCATTAGGGAAACTACAATAATTTCACTTCAAATTTTCTAGACATTTCCGGTGTAACGTAGATGACAGCTCCACGCGCCGGAATCTGCGCCGACTTTGAGTCAATGATTGACCTGGAAAAATATTTTTGCAGCAATTAGTCATATAATCACTTTTATGATCATTATGAATAAAATGTTCTTACCCGTAAGGAAGATCGGAATTCCCAATCCCCCGGTAAATGATGAGTTCTCCCGGTATATTCTCAATTTTTCTAGTGAGATCCTCATTTCGCAATTCGTTTCCGAAGTTTAACACAAGATAAATCGATCGCTGACCTCCCAGTATTCTAGAAAACAAGATTTTTTCACAAAAGGATTGAAAACATTTTATCGAAAAGCATTGCTTCGTTTGGAATATCAATGTACCTGGAGATAGCAAAGATGTTATCACTGATTACATAAGTGTAGAGATCCCCACTCTGAGCTGTTGGCCATGATCTGAGTTCCGCCACTGTCTGGTAGAATTTGAACTGGGAGTCCCCTGCTTCTTTCTGTACTTCCAGATTCAAACTTTTGTAATCTGGGTTCACTGGCAGCCAAGTGTTTGGATTCGTCGAGAATCCTATGAATGAATTAAAACTTGTTATAATTAAAACTCATGAGACGGGTGACAAAGTTCAAACTGTATGGAGACAAAATTTCGTTCTCGTAATTAACGATCAGATATCATAACCCATCATTTCACATTTCATTTGAAAATCGTGTGATTGAAGAAGAAAATGATTTACCAGCAGAGGTCGTCCCATCCCAAAGGAAAGGAGTCCGAAAAGGATCTCGTGAGGCTGCCTCAAACCCTTCTCTCCCAGCATTACATCCCTGAGGATCTTTTCCCTGTTCCCACGACACATAATTGTTAGGCATACCGATCTCATCACCATTGTACATTATTAGCACTCCAGGTAGTAGGAGGAGTAATGCGATAATTCCTTGGGCTCGTTCAACTCCATAGCGTGACGCAACTCTCTTCTGGTCGTGATTTCCAATCTGAACAAATTCCAAATGGATTGATTTTGATAGTTTGCCTGATCATCTCATGATTTTAATCTCTTATGTTGTGATGCTTACCACCCAATTGGCTGTATTTCCGTCGGGCATCCTTGCCATCCACTCGTCAATAACGAATTTGACGTCAGCAGGGGAAGAATCGGCGTTCAAGCGCTGGATGAACCCGAAGTTGAATGGGAAACTGGCCCCAAATTTGTAGTATTTCATCGTCAAGTTTATGTCTGTATAGGCCTCCAAGACCATGAGACGTTCATGTTCACCGTCCTTGTTATATTCATCCAGTAGTTCTCGCCATTGACGAACCAATTCATAGCACTCAGGCTGATCTTTAGTGTAAATGTGATTCAAGTATCCGTAGTTGTTTGGGTCGTTCGTATTGCCTGATAACGGTTCGTCTTGGAGGGATTGGATTTCGAATACGTGATTGATGACATCGATACGGAAGCCGTCCACACCTCTGTCGAGCCAGAATCTTAAAACATTCTAATTTGGCGATAGCCATTAACTGAATAATAAAAAACAGCTTGTATTAAGATCCTTTGATCGTCATTTGAATGAAGCAAAGTTGAATATACGATTTTTCTACCTTTATCTCATCTCTAAGGTTCTCATATCGATAATTGAGATCCGGCTGTTGCGGTGTGAACTGATGCAGGTAGTACGCTTGTCTCTGATCATTCCACGTCCAGGCTGGACCTCCAAATACACTTACCTATGAATCCAGTCGTTTCAGGGTTTAAATACGATTAATTATATTGATTATTTGAATGTAAATGATAATTCGGCTACTCACCCAGTTGTTCGGTGGAGCACGAGTGCCACCTGCCTTGAACGTTCCATTCGCCCAAACGTAGTAGTTATTGTAAGGTGGAATATCCTTGACACTCTTTTGAAACCACTCGTGCTGATCGGAACTGTGATTCGGTACGAAATCCATGAGCACTTTAAGGCCCGTTTTGTGAGCCTTCTCCAATAAAATGTCGAAATCTTCTAATGTGCCGAACAAGGGATCTATTTCAATGAAATTTGAAATATCATATCCCATGTCTACCCCAGGGCTAGGGTAAATCGGTGACATCCACATTGCAGTGACTTTCGATTCCACTAAGTGGTCCAAATTGTCAATAATGCCTGAAAAAATGTAATGAGAAGGAAAAATAAAAAAATGGATTCTATCATTCCGGACATATCATAGTAGATAAATGCCTTTCAGGTCTCCAATTCCATCTCCATTGCTATCCTTGAAACTCCTGGGATAAATTTGATACAGTGACATTGCTGACCACCATTTCTCCTCACTTTTCACGACAACAGCAACGGCTATCAGCATAAAGAAACTCAAGAGGGCTCTCATATTAATAACGCGGAGTCCCGATCGCTCGATCATTCTATAAAGAAGGAGATATTGATGCACAAAACCGATAATACTACCCTGGTAAAACAGTCCGATTATTTCCGACTGGGGGATAAAAAATGAATTGGCGTTAATGATGTTTCTGTCTTTGCCCGTTAAATTCCGATTGGCTAGTAGGTAGAGTTTGGAGTTTGAGAAAATTATGAGAATTAATAGGATCAAGGGTACGTGGCCGTTATCGTCCGATTATACTTTCCAAAAAAGTGGTTGATAGATCTCATATTGCTGATATAAATCTTGAATACGCGTATAAATACGCATATAAATGTTTAAATGAGCAATAAATATTAAAGATTTATATCAGCAATATGAGATCTATCAACCACTCATTTCGAAAGTAATTGGACGATAACGGCCACATACCCTTGTTCCCATTAATTCTCACAATTTTCTCAAACTCCAAACTCTACCTACCAGCTAATCAGAATTTAACGGGCAAAGACAGAAATATCATTAACGCCGATTCATTTTTTATCACCCAGTCGGAAATAATCGGACTGTTTTACCAGGGTAGGTCGCTGTGAATAATTTTACTCTCTCGGCCTACCTCTGTCGTCAGCAGTTCACTATCCAATGACCGCGGACGAGCCTGCTTTTATACAAACCACAGAAGCTGTTGACACAATCACTGTGTCCGGCTGTTTGTGTTCACATCCACATGGACTTCTTACTTATAATTGATTCGTTCTGCGTACATGTGACGATTATATTATCATATAGCGTGGATGACAACGAATGGGTATACGAGTGTATTAAAGTCTGAGATAAAAGCGACAATCTCAAGTGTAATTTAGGTAAATTAATTGGAATTATTAATAAGAATTTTTTACTGGAACTTGTGCTTCACAGTTCTTATGGTAAGATAGTCAACGATAGTTCGAAAGTACAAAGTGTATATAAATGAATGAGCATGTATATTGATTCTATCTAACTTTTCCGAACGATATCAAAACACAAATTTCAATTTTTCAAATCAAATTGCGGGAATGCGTAGAAAATCTCTCCACTGGACTTCACTGTCCGTTTACGATGGAGAAATTATTATGAACGCACAGACATAACTGACCAAAAATCCTTGAGTTTTCTCACAATATCGACCGAAAATGGGAATAATCAAATTTAATTTCAAACTAGATCAATGCGTTACCTTAATGTCTCTTAAATGATTCAATATGCCATTATGCTTATTATGTTTATCATCAATCTGTTTAGATGGGATCCATTATCGTGATGATGCCACACGTTCCACTGAATGCACATTGCAAGATCAAAATTCCGCCGAACTTTGTATGCTATGTATCCCGTTAAAAGTAACTATGTATCCCGTTACAAGATCGTGGAATTTTGTCTTATTGTATCATTTTTGGAATTTTGTGGGAGTCAACCCATTTCGACTGACTAATACAAGTGTCACTGTACCTTCGCGCTATGCCCCTGTTTACGGAATATTCCAAATAGTACTGTTCAGTTACATATGCTTCAAGGTTATTGTTAACAGAGTATCTAGGAGAATTCCTGGTGAAACTAATGTTATATTCATAGTTGATTTAGAAGTCGTTGTCATGAGATTCTTGGAAACCTCAGTTTTTTTATATCATCCGCTTTTTTCACTGAGAAATTGATGATAATTCTTGAACATTGTAGAAAAATTGAACTCACCAATAGAAAGCTGGGAATTTTCGATGATCCCAACTTATACATCAAAAGTGTGATTGTTGCAGTTTTATTTTTCAATGTGATTTGGATAATGATAGTACCGTCAAGTGTTTGGTGCATAGTGAGAGCGGGAGATATTACGAATTCTCAATTCTTCTTTATCTATCAAAATTTACAAGTGGTGTCATATAATATGCTACTTTTATTTTGCTCGGGAATTGTATTCGTCCGGAGAAAGTTTTATCAGTTGAATGAAAATTTAAAGACTTTTATTGATAATAATAAAGAGCTCCGCGAGATGAGGTACAATTAATTGTATAGTATGAACATACCTCGATTTTTAAGATTAAATCAGAAATAAATTTCAAATAGAAATTAATACGAATAGGAAAATGCTAATGAAATACGTACTTAATCGACATAGTATCTAGTTTAGTATTATTGATAATCATTAATTTGAAAGTGCCAAATAGTGCAGACTCTTATAAGAAAATGACATTCTCTGGGTTAAGAAGATTAAAATCTTGAAAAACTGGAAAAAATAGATTAAAAAATGAGTTTTGAAACTTTCGCGGGCAATATTATTGTTCATTATTATGACTTCCGGATGGATACCACGTCTAGATTCAGCTTTTTGCCGACGTTTCGCAAACATTTCAGTCTGCATCATCAGGGCTAGGTTGCTCCGGTACTGAATCTCCCGTTGTAAGGAAGTCCTTATATTCCCCCTGGCCCCTGCATGAGGTAGGTGGAGTGGTGGAAGGTATCCCAGCCAACCAAGATGTTTTTAATTGATTAGCTGGTCAATTGAAAAATCGGGAGGACGGTGTGCCATATTGCCTTGGTTTGATATCCTCGATCCCTATTAAAATTGTTCAGATCTCACCACCTTCGCCATGTTTTCTGGTGAAATGCGTCTCGAGTTCCAAAAACATCCGAACAATCTTAAGGGGGATGGTAACGGTGAAATTGTGAAAAATTCGATTCTTTGCTTTTCCCTATTTCGATTGTATATACTTTTAGACATATACTCATGAAGTTTTATTAGAAAAATCGAAGAGCGAGCCGAGTTATGACCATTTGTATTGGGGCAGGTGCAGCAGTGCCGGTGAGCTCGTGCTCCTCGCGCTCAGGTAGCAGCCTATTGTCTTTCCATTCTTTCCCCATGAACAAAGCCCCTGCCCATTACATGTCTATACCATCAGTCGTATTGGAAAAACCGCCCGCAGGGGATGAAAATCACTCCGTAAATGAACTTATTCTTTTAGAACTTATACTTTTGGGGCATTCCATGTCAATTCGACCGGTTTAAACCCTGACCATCTCAGATTCGTTTCATTTTTTTTTCATGATTCTACCCAATGAAAAATCCACCCTGATTTTTTTCAGATTTTTTAAATCAATTCTTCAATTTTTTATCGATTTTTGAAGTAGATTAACGACAGCCCCATTTTAAAAATCTGAAAAAATTCACAAAAATTTTATGCTGCCAAAAAGTTGTTTTCAGCTATGTTTTAGAGTTGCAAATAGAAATAGTACGCCCTACGCTAACCCTATTTCTGTATGCGTTAGGAAAAACATTACATTTTATCTATGGAGTTTACGTTAACGGCAGTGCTGAATCCGAATCCGACATCGATTTTTATAGGGTGTGGAGAGGTCTATTTATTTATAACATTTTTATTGTTTAATCGATCATATCATGGCAACGGTTGCAGATAGACAACAAAATTTCAAACAAAAGTCGTTTGTTATGTAAAAATACACATTTTTTATCGTATAACTTTTTCTCCTAACTGCGGTAGATAAAGAGTGATCATGGATGGGAGGGAAGTGGGCAGCACGTTAACACTTGCGCCGATGTGTGGGCGCTCCGATGCGTTTATTGGCAAACTCGATCGAGATAGAGGAGAATGGAATTTCGCAGGATAAAATTCATATATTTTTCTATATATACAAATTTTTTGTCATTGAGCACAGTGAATACCGCAAATCTATTTCCGTATACTTATCAATCTTAGTTTCTTGAAGGACAGATATGAAATTCAGCTCTTAATCATTAAATTGCAGAATATGGAGAAAAAATTCCATAGAGATTCGTCGAAATATACATTTTAGGGCTTACTTCGACTTGATTATTGACTTGTCCCGATATTCATCAACTATTCAATTCCTTCCTGGGTGATTCCAGGTGAAACCGGGAGTCGAAAAAAATCGATGACACTGATTTTGTTCAGTGGGAATGAAAGGCAATAGGAATTTTTTTTACAAGCGAAAAAAACGCAAAATCAAAAAAAAATCGCAACTCGTTCAAAATATTTTATCTTCGACTGAAATTTCAACTGAAGCCTTATCTCATGATATAGAATTGAGAAAAAAATCATGAACAAAATCGGAATTCAATTTATAGAAATAACTAGTATATGCAAGAAAAATTATAATCTGACAATAATGAGTATTTTTTTTAATCAATGCAGCTATTACACGATTAATTTCCATATTCACTCTAAAATATGCCGTAAAATATAATACTTTGTTGCTAATATCAAATTGTAATTTTTTAAAATTTCCCAGTAGGGGCCTTCGTCAATCAACTTAGAAAATTCATAAAAAATTGACGGATCAAATGGCAAATCATCAATTATATGTCAAATTCAATGATGAAAATTTTTCGTTTGAACCATTCTCCTCTATCTCGATCGAGTTTACCAATAAACGCATCGGAGCGCCCCAACATCCGCGCAAGTGTTAACGTGCTGCCCACTTCCCTCCCACCCATGATAACTCTTTATCCATCGCAGTTAGGAGAAAAAGTTATACAATAAAAAATGTGTATTTTTACATAACAAACCTCTTTTGTTTGAATTTTTTTATCTATCTGCAACCGTCTCCATGACATGATCGATTAAACAATAAAAATGTTATAAATAGACCTGACCACAACTTGTAAAAATCGACGTCGGATAAAGATTGAGCACTTTCGTTAACGTAAATTCCAGAGATAAAATGTAATTGTTTTCTTGGCGCATACAGAAATACCCGAGTGGAAATTCTGTTCAGGTCTAGATCAGAAACTTATCAAGTCCGATCCGAAATTCTGATCAAGTATGTTACACCTCTGCCTTGTTTTTCCACTAGGGTAGGGCTAGCATAGGACGTACTATTTCTATTTCCATTCTAAAAAATAGTTTGAAAGAAATTTTGGTAGCATAAAATTTGTGTAAATTTTTTCAGATTTTCAAAATGGGGCTTTCATTAATCTACTTCAAAAATTGATAAAAAATTAATGAATTGATTAAAAAATCTGAAAAAAAATCAGGGTGGATTTTTCAGCGAGTAGAATCGTGAAAAAAAATGAAACGAATCTGAGATGGTCAGGGTTTAAACCGGTCAAATTGACATGGAATGCCCCTTTTACATGTGCCCGTGTGTTCGAGAAAGACACACCAGGCCCGCTGCGGACGGCTAGGCAGGAAAACTTTAAACGCGTTGTTCATGAAACATGATTTTCCGTCCTGGTGTCAACAATAATCCGAAAACTGCTTTTTCCAGTAAAATCATCCTTGTACGAGATGGTTCACCCTGAACATCGTTATCGTTCCACGAGCACTAAATGTTTTTTTCTGGCCGCCTCTTTCTTTTTCTGTTATTTTTGCTGTCACTTATGAGGGCGCGTAGCGCAACAGGGCTTGTTGAAGAATTGCTCTATTTCCGACAATTTTTTTTTCGTCTTAAATGCACCTGTCCAACGATAGATTTGTCTCATTCATAGAAATGAATCATAGTTTGGTTTAAGATGAATCAAAGCTGTGGTATCAATGGAACCAGCTGGGAAAAGGCCTCTCATTCAATAATTTATAACTTTTTCAAAAGTGAATATTTTGCCAATAACAAATTATATCCTTATTGTTCAATCATCATTTAGTGCATCGTTAGTTGTTGAATCGGCACATACTTCAACTTGCTAGTTAAAAAAAAAAATTCCTGATGAGTCACCATGGCCATCCCCTTGAATAGGGATCGAGGATATCAGAAGAATCTGATTTGGAACACCGTCCTCCCGGGTTTTTAATTGACTAACTGATTTATTAAAAATATCTTGAATGGCTGGGATACCCGCCACCACTCCACCTACCTCCTCCAGGGGTCAGTGGAATATTCGTGATCGCAACGTAGATGTTGGAGCCACCAAGTGTGCGTTGAGTCAACTACGGTTGGGGGCCAACCAATGAGACCACTGGGTACTCTGATGCATATGAGGGTATGTATTCGAATGACGTTTTGGAGCAGAATGGATTCTGATCGATGTAAATTCAATATATCCCTCTCGAATATCATCAATTTATTAGGGGGGACCAAACGGCCACTTGAAGCTGGGGAACAAGTATTATTAGCCAATCATATCGTGATATGCGGAGTGAAACATTGTAGCCCAAAGTCTATCCACATTAAATCTGCTTGTCGACAATCCTCACACCTGGATCAAATCCACGAGATCAATTTAATCATTAATGTACGAAATGGAACTAAGCAAATCAAATGTCGTTGCTCCTGCAAAGCAGGGGAAGGTAATAAATGTAAGCACATTTTTGCTACTCTTTTACATGTTAATAGGTAAGACTGTACTTTCGTTCACTTAAGAGTCGTCGTTATCATCCAAGTGCGATGAGTTTAACATCCCAGCACCTTGTTGTTATCTTCAATTTCAGGAAACGTATGGAGAATTTAGATGTCATAAGTTGTACTGAGTTGAAGCAGCAGTGGGGTAAAATTAAATCCGCCAAAAAGTGCTCAGAGGATCGAGTGGTTTCCATTGACAAATTTTATTGTTATCAACCAAGTGTTAGAAACAACTTTGTCCCTGATGACACATTGAATGATTTTTTCAGAGATTGTTTATTGAAAGGTAAATATCATGTAGAAGGAATGTTCGTGAGATCTTCAATTCACTTATGCAAATTATCAAAGATTGTACGAATATGCAATGTTCTGTTGTATGGTGCATTAAATGGATGTATGCATTAATTATAGGATTTCCGAACTCTGAGGCTGCTATTCACTTTTCCGAACAACGAGGGACTGCCTCACAATCAGTTGACAATGAACAGCATGACATGGAATGCCAGACAAATCTATTAGATAGGGCCCTGATGCATGCTTTTTTGAATGTCCCATTGCCTCTTAACATTCAGGAAGTCCCTCAATTTGCTAGTCAAGAACTCTCTGATTTCTATTCCAGTAATGTTATTATTTCCGAAGATAGAGCCATAAATATTTTTATAAGCACCAAGATACAAGACAATAATTTATGGAGGGAAGAGAGGAAGCTACGTATTACGGGAAGTGTGTGTTACGAATTATTTACCTACTCTAAAAATTCCAATCCAGATTGGAGGAATAAGGCCGAAAAAAAGTATTTCAGCGACTTCAAGGGGAACGCTGATACCAGACATGGAGTATTGCATGAAGATGTAGCTCGTGAGCTCTACATGGAAATGACAAGACACAATGTGGAGACCCTGGGTCTTGTCATTCAACCAAGAATACCATGGCTTGGATACAGTGCGGATGGAGTGGTCACCACGAACAGTTGCCTGATAGAAATCAAATGCCCCAAGAAAGGTAAAGTCATATCAGCCCATCAAGTAGCAACTGAATTAGCTTACTTAGAAGTTGGTCCCAATGATATTTTCTTGAAAGAAAAGCATGGATACTATGGTCAGGTGCAACTGGGGATGTTTCTATTAAACTTATCACAATGCCACTTCCTTTTATATTGTACTCACGATCAAAGTCTATTGAAAATTCATGTCCCCTTCAACAGGAATTATGCAACCTCGATGGTAGATACTTTGAGAGTGACTTATTTCAAACACATACTTCCTGAGTTGCAGAAATTCCATGATAAAACGTAGGAACTCACATGTGTAGCCTATTCATTGGAATGATGGAGTATTAAAACACGATGAGTTGGAAAGGTGAACTCATGCATCTTGTGAATCTCTCCGGAACCAGCAGGTTCAGAAAAATTAGCCAGGTGATTTCAATTATTTTTCCAACTTCTCCCATTTCACCAACCCACTGCAGAGCTATGGCCTTTATATACGTCCTCTCATTACGTATTCTCGTAATCGTCTGTCGTCGATAGCATGAGAATTTTATGTTTGAAACATGGTGAAACGGGACATTCCCTGTAATGGAATGGCTTGTTAACAACACAAATTTTCGGGCTTTTGTTTTACTGGAATTTATAATATTCCCTTGAATGTAGGATTGCTTTCAGTTGTGTTCGATCCATCGGACCATATCTCATTACAGTCCAGTGCAATTTGCTATTTATCAAATTGAAAGAGTAAACAAAAAGTTATTTCTTGAGAATTGAATTGTATTGCAGGGTGGTCCCACTTACATATCCCTTGAATGAAAAGAAATGATACATATTTTTCGATATACCTATGTGGCCTTATTGTTATCTAAAGCATCTTCAATATTTTACATGAATGTTAATTAGTATTGTGTATGGAAAAATAAACGGAAAACACATTACATTCTCGTTCCGAGATTCATGTATATTTTATGAGATACATCTTTAGACTCCACGTTCATTATTAGATCAAGATGACGGTTGCTTATGTTACTCCTCAGTTTCTAGGTCGAGCAAACTTATCAGCAGACAAAATTGGCTGGCTAAGATTCACAAGTCCACTGATAACTTTCATTATTTGATGACTTAGCTTTGTTAAGTGTTGTGGCAAAGGTTCTCGCAAAATCTGAAATATCTTCAGTCTTTGAATAGCCCTCTCTACGTGCACACGTGCAGCTGCGATCTGGGGCAGTGGCTTCGGCTTCAGCTTTTGAAAATTGCTTCTTCTTACGTAAAAAAGGTGGTCGTATCAATTCAGTTCGGTATGCAGCACACTCGCAATCAATAATAAATCCTTTGTCTACAATTACACTATCATTGTTAGGAATCATTTTTTCCAGAAGCTGACTCTTCACAACGATTTGTTTATCAGAAACTCGCCCTCCAAAAGCGTTACTAACAAAAGAAGTTAAGCCAGATGGTGTCACACCAAGTAAAAATTTCAATGTTTGGGTTCCCTTGTAGTTTGAATATGTGCCTAATCGACATTTCAAACACTTTGTCCTTTTAATTGGAACTTCAGTACAATCTAACACCACTCTGGTGTCTTTGTACTTAGAAAAACATGTGGGCATATTTTGACGTATTTCGCTTTTGCTAGGCCATCTAATGATAGGTGATAAAAGAAGACAGAGCTCGTTGAGTGTCATTATGAAATTATTCTTACACGTGTTCGCTGTAACTTGAAATAAAACTGACAGACATACGTATGGAAGATTCAATTTTAATTCCATTAATGTCATTATTATTCTGTCTTTAATGTTGAGAGAGAAATGACCTTCAGTCTTCTTCATATTGACTCGCAGAGTGCTGATACAGTTGATCAAAACAGTTAAAAATGCGAAGGAATTAATACCAGTGAAAGCATTGAGTTCTGGATCAATTTTGAACAGGGTAGAGATAGAAAAAGTTTCAGTCTGAGTTCCTTGATCACGATGAAAAAAATTAACTTGAGTAGATGCATCACACACAATTGGTTTCTCATAGACAGTTTCTTCACAAGGCTGTACATTTTGCAATGCTGGGCTCCACTGTTCCTCCAGCATTTCGATGTCAATGAATTGAGCCTCATCAACAAGAACCACACTTTCCTCCATGAACCCTGTCTCTCGTGTTTGTCTGTAGAAAGAAATGGATCAATGTAAGGTCTACGTCATAACTATTAGCTATTTGATTAACGAAGGAATAATAAATCGGATTATCTACTTGAATAGTGGAGTTTCCAATTCATCCAGTTTTGCAACACAAGGTTCTGCTCCGAAATTGTCATTCTGATTGTCGTCGTTCACGATAACAACAGGTCGTGGCAAGGCATTTGATTTTAAGGTTTTTTTCTGCTGACCGGGATTTGAAAATATTAGAGCATAATCCATTACTATAGAATTCTTTCCAAACAATTTTCATCCATAATGATCCATTCAAAGAAACTCACTTTGTGGGATAAATGCATCTGTAGCGAAGTGCTGGTTACAAACTCGCATGCTATCTGAATAATAACTCACTTTCAATAGCTCCAACCACTTTTTTCGATGTGCTTCATTTTTTGGGAACCGATGGAAACTTCTTTTCTGAATATTAGCCGATTTACAACCCAATACACTACAAGTTTTCTTTGCTTTGACGAATTTATTTGAGATATCCATTTCTCTGCATTCCAGTGTAATGCACCGCGATATCAAGTGTGGCGCCCACTGAATTCATTGGTTGGCCCCCAACCGTAGTTGGCTCAACGCCCACTTGGTGGCTCCAACATCTACGTTGCGATCACAAATAAGGACTTCCTTACAACGGGGAGCTTCAGTGTCGGAGCATCCTAGTCCTAATGATGCAAACTGAAATGTTTGCGAAACGTCGGCATAAAGCTGAATCTAGACGCGGCATCCATCTGAAAGTCATAATAATGAAGATTAAAAAATGTCCAATGGATGTGACCGAATATAATTATTCTCTCATTTTTAGAATAGAAGTAACAGCATTACCACATGAATTACGAATTTTTCGTGAATTACACCGACGAACGTGTGATCTTCTCAATAAAATAATAGCACATTTTGCGTTCCCGCTATTGGTCTCCATTGCGCTTCACGTTGCTTACATAACGAAGCAGATTTATACTAATTGGTTGTACTTATATGCAAAACCATTGAATCGAGACTATCTTTACATCATGTCAGTCTCTTACTGGACCATTCTCTCCCTTATTTCATTGATCACGCTAACACATTGTTGTAGTGTTGCATGCACAGAGGGAAAAAAAACTGTTCACGTACTTCATGCCTTGGAATTACCAGGCAATTTGCGTTCTGATTATTCTATAATTCAGGTAGTCTAATTATATTGCCAATATTGTTGATTATTTCGGTTCCTTTACTTATTACATTTTGAGAATGTAATTCCGCATTATTATTTACAGCAGCACAACCTTTTTTCAGTTCAACTCTTGCAGAAGAGAGTGAGCATCTCGTTATACGATCTTTTCAACATCAGTAAAATTTGGACGGTTCAAGATTGTTAATAATGTTATAGATTATTGCTTCAATATCAACATGCGTAGTCATTCTTTGTCAATTTGATATGCATTGATAGAATTACAATATCGGACTCCATCGGATAACCTTGCAAATCTTGTGATCTTTCTCCAATAAATTCATAGAGCTTTAAAATATCATTCGCGTCAACTTTATTTGTGCACGTGTATTCGTGTTGCTGATTCCACGTTTGAAAATGAAATCAACACTTTCTGTAATACATATCACAGGTGCGATAAGTGAACGAAAAGTGCAACATATTGGCATTAAAGAGTATGAGTGTGAGGCAGCACTAATACAAGCACTCATCAAATGAGCTGTCACCTGGAGTCTACTAGCCTTGACCCTTAATACTTCTGTAATAGTATTTTCCTTTCCTTTGAACAACACTAGAACGCCACATACCATCATTTCGATGTGGCACCATTCACTCATTCCATTCCTCAAAGGCCCAGAACTTTAGTAATGAGAATGACAACGACTTCATTGAAGAAGAACTGGGATGTCATCTTGCTATATCGATTTGAGAATATTCTGGGTCTGAATTCAAAGGTATTGACCAAAGATGGTCTGGTCGTACCCTTCCGCCATGCTCCATTCTACGCGATATTACAAATAATATTTTTTGGTTATGTGTGTTTTCAAACATCAGCGGACAGATTGAAGCGATCAGTACCCACGGAGACTGTGGTCATGCGAATTGTGGGCCCAGAAATTATAGCAATGAATATCCTGGAAAATGTCATATTATGGATGTCATTTGCTTTATCTCAGAAGAAGTTTACGAAGATTATGAGTGATTATGAGCGAGTTGAATTCATCATCAATTAGGAATTTTCAACGATTCCTTGAAAAAAGGTAATAATTAATTTGATCATTTTATTCACAGCAATTCAACATTTTTTCACTCCAATTATTCCAGAAAAGAGTCAAAATATCATTATATGGACTTATTGACATTGACTATTCTCTCTTCATTCGTGTAAGATCCAGATTTAGTTTAGAGGAAAATTTGGAACAGCATCTTTGCAAAGTATTTCATAGGTGTGCATATTCATTATAATTTCAGGTTATTACAACCATAGCAACATGTCTGGTTATCCTCATTCAATTCGAGTGATCCCACACGTCATTGATATTGAGTTCATCACTGAATCTCGAAGATCTTATCAAATGTCTAGTGATTGTCATACTTTATAATGAATTACATTGTAGAATGAATTACTATGATTTAAAAAAACTGAAATTTGCAAGTGATGTTAGACTTCACTTTATCATTAGCAAATTTATGTCAACATAAGTCGTTATGAGATTCACCGAAGAATTTATTGAATTGTTTTATTTACTCAATCGATGCCTCAACTACTATCTAAAAAATCTTGGTTTGTGTCCATTTGACATTGTCGGCGATAATATCCTGGTACGTTCGAAACCTGCTACAATCTGCACGTGGTTCCTCTGCGCAATGTTCACATTCATGTACTCCCGTGTGATAACCTGGAGAATATTCTTCATGTTACCTTGTGATACACCCATCACCGTGATTTCTGATATCATCAGTTCGACGTTGGATTTTCTAACAGTAATATCAGCTTGGATTAATGCTGTAGTTTCCCAAAATCTATTGCGGACTATTATCGAGAGTTTCAAAGTTGTATCGAATTCCTTACGACAAGTAGATATTGAAGACAGTCTTATCAATATCCTGCAGAAAACCAATTTTGTCCTTTTGTTGGTCAATGTACATTACGGCAGGAATTTACACGGATTCCGTGCGATCGCATTCCAACATTATTAATTTGACGATATGGAGTGTGTTCAATTACTTGAGTGTTCCCGCACATATAATCACAGTGCTCTTTATCAGTACATTGATCATGTTGAAACAGCAGTTTCAACTGGCCAACGAATTGGTCGGAGAATTTTCCAAGAATTTTGACAACTCGCCAATGAAGATGCTTTTCTATGAAAGGTACAAATTAACACATTCAGGAGTCAAATCCGATTTCATTCATCATCAACGCATCATTCGTCAGCGGCCGATGTCATTGCTGAACAGTGAGAAGTGTAGAGGAACAAGGATGGATCCGTGGGGTACTCCAGCATTGGTCTCGAGAAAAGAGAAGAGCTCTTGATCACCTTTGACAGCTTGGGATCGTCCAGTGAGTTAGAAAAGAAACCACGCGATAGCACCAGCAGACAGCCCAAGATCCGTCAACTTGCTCAGCAGGAGCGAGTGAGAGATTGTATCAAATGCTTTAGAGAAGTCGAAGAGAACCAAGATAGTGATTCTATGGTCATCAAAATTCCTTCTGACGTCATTGACAAGTCTCAGCAAGGCCGTCTGCTGTGGCCAGGTCTAAAGCCACATTGTCGAGGGTCAAGCAGGTTACGTTCCTGTAAGAATGAGGACAATTGGATGTAGGCCAATCTCTCCAAGACTCGCTAGAAAAGGCAGCAATGCAATAGGATGATAGTCAGAGAGCGACTACGGAGAGCTGACTACTAACAGGAACAATAATAGCCCTTTTCCAAATTGAGGGGAAGACACTGTCCAGAAACGATCGATTCATGATGGTGAGGAGGCACTCTGACAAAAGTGGTAGGGTGTGGAGCACCATTTTACTTGAAATTTCATCAGCACCGACAGCGTTGAATTTGATGAAAGATATCGCAGTCTAGATGTTGAGCCAGCTCACTTGGCTGAAGGCGAACGACGTGGAAGCAGAGTAAGAACCACTCACAGGGGCTACTGGCAACTCATGCATTGGGCAAATCAAGGTGTAAGTAGGCTGAAAGCTAGACGGCACGGTAGACACAGCAGCAAAGTGAGAATTCAGGACATCTGCAGAGATGACAGGCTTTATGCTCATGCCAGGTGTCAGTGCAAGATTTCGAAGCTCCTTCCACAGTGCCACTCCATATAGTCCAGATAGTCGAGAATGATAGTAGCTAGCACGAGCATCAGCTAGCTTGTAATGGTGGAGGTTTCTAGCCCGGCGAAACTCAAGCAGTCGCAGGGGACTCCTTCTCCTCTTGAACCGTCTGTAGAGATATTGCATGTACCGGTACGACTGTCGAATGGCTGCTGGTCAGCAGAGAGAGAGAGAGAGAGAGAGAGAGAGAGAGAGAGAGAGAGAGAGAGAGAGAGAGAG